AATAATACAATAAATAATAAATACAAGAAAATTAAGTAAAAATAATGGCATAGGTGAAGAAACTACAGATATTCCTTGCCTATCAACCTATCTGTTTAGCAGCTATTTGGACTTAAGACTAAGATACACTGTTGAGACTTAGAACCCACCGCTTGGACTTACAACACACCTTTTTTTGTACAGTTTTGTACATCTTGTTTACAAAGCTTCAATGTCTTTTTTGTGTAATACATATTTAGATGCTATAATTTTTGCTGATTATACCATACAGTACTTTACTGTAATTTTATGTTCTCTTATACATTACGGTATTAAGTGCATAAATTATGCAAATAAAAGCAAAGTCATCAAGTTGGAGTTTCCTTTGACCATTCCTTTGTTCTGAATATTGTAATTGTAGGTAGCATGTACAATTCCTCATTTAGTGACAAATTTGTTTAATGATGTAGTTGTGGAATATTCGTTGGGTCATTAAACGAGGAATGTCTGTGTTGCTAAATATGGGAGGTGTGAAACGGGAGAATGAAAGAAGTAAAGTTGGAATGAAAGGAAAGGAAGATTAGATGGAAGAAATGAAAGTGAGATAAAAGATCTATTAATGTGTGAAATAAAATTATTAAAATTAAATAAAAGTAACAAATGAACAAACAAGAAAAAATAAGAGTAAAAGTTTTAAAATAATCAGAAAAAAGGAATAAAAGACAAAACAAGAAACAAAAGGGAAAAAGAGAAAAAAGAATAAAACTAACCCCTAAAAGAAAAAAAAAAAGGAAGGAAAAAGACCCATGTTTGTGAATGAGTGGTTTTTTTCAGGGTCTGCAGTACCAGAAGCCACCAAAAATGGGAAAAGGATGATGAGACTTATTTTGTTTCCACATGCATGGTTTTGCATGTAAATGTAGAATCCTGCCTCACTTTTCCTGCTGAGCGTGCTTGGTCAGTGGTGTGCATCCTAGGGCTATATCCACTCCAGCTATTCCAGGTTTCTGTGTCCCTCTGTGAACTTCAACTCATAGATTTCTAGCTTTCTCTGCCTAGCTTTATGGCCTATGGGGTTGTGAGCTGCCTCCCACCACCATGTGCTCCAGAAGCCTCTCTGTCTGTACACCCCAGGTTGTAGCAGCCACCTAAGCTAAGACATATCCCTGAGCCTGCTAGCACATGGGGAAAGCATACAGACCACTAAGCTCTGTCAATGGCAGTGGGGCAGAGGCTCAACCAGTCCACTGGACTTAATGCTGAGACTTTCAGAATGAATACCCTCTGAAATCCACAGGCGTCCAGCCTGGTTTCTCACACGGACAGCACAACCCTCATGTCATTGTCAGTCTGAGCTTAACTTTCTCAGAGGGTCTACGTAGACCCTATACCCTTTCTATGACTATATCTTCTGGTCATCTTTCACCCAGTCACTGTGGTGAGGCAATGCCAGAAACCCTGAAGTGTAGTTGTTCTGTAGCTCAGTCTTAAACACTTAACCCCTTTCCAGGGAGCTGCACTGGTTTTCTTTGCCAACTCTACCCTGCCATGCAGAGGGAGTTACTTTCAGAGTAAAACTCCATACTGTTTCTGCAGTTTGTTAACGATGAGCTTTTCTTGGGGCTGGTGCTGAACCTAGTATGTCGATTCTCCCTGGAGATGAGACCCTCTTCAGGCTTACCGTATATTAGCAGACGCAGGTTCCTTTCCCTAGGACAGTGGGTTAGCTTTCTAGTCTGCTTCGTTCTTTTCTTTGCATTGTGCTAAGTATCTCCAGATTCTCATGACCTTGGAGCCACACTGAGAGAGGGTGCTGAATGGAGGGTTACCGGTCCTGCACCAGACCTGTGTCCCTCTGTCAACATGCGGCAGACAGCTCTACAAGGCCACGGTGCAGCACCCCCTGCTGGCCGGCAGCCCTCCACGGATGGGCCCTTGCCCTCAGGCCCTCTCTGAGATGTCTGTCACATGAAGTGACATGTATAGGTAGGAAGAATGGAAAACAGTGCTCCCAGAGCACTTTGTAACTCACTGAGTAAAAGGGAAGACACCTTTTGGATTTTAAATACCAATCAACATGGAACATATCTGTCATGAGTACAATAAGAAGTTTCTAAATACACAGAAAGCACATCAGGCCAAGAGTTTGGTAAGCCTAGAATTTGTCAAGACCAAAAATAAGAATTTGCCAAAACCAAAAATTAACCTTCAAAAGAAATCCAAGTTGCATTAGAAAAATTACGTAATTACTGTGTTGCCTAAAGCTTACTTTAGCATCACAGTGGGGCCTGCCGTGCAGTGGCAGAACTTGAAGGGTTACTGACACGTAAATGGTGCTATTTGATTTCCTATGTGTGTTGCCTCAGCATTCAGGGCACTTTATCCTTGCAGTTTGACTAAAACACTGAAAAATATTCCAAGCTTCCTATTAACCTTACCTGTCTATGTAACAATTTCATGAAAACTATTAAATTGTTGAATTCCTACTGACAGCATTATAATTGTATGGGAGCATAACTTTATAAGGAAATGTATTTTGACACTGATATCTTATTAAAGTATTCTTATATCTTATTAAAGGTTCTAGTTTCCACATCAGCTCTCTCCCAGTTCCCAGGGTTCTACTCTCCCTTCACCAGGTTGTTGTTTTCCATGTTTCTTGATTCCAGGTCCTGGAAGGTTGTATTTCAGTAATAGTCTTCACTCCACTGGTTTAATCTCTTCTCTTTTTATTTATACAGAATTTCTGTGGTTTCGTTTTCCAGGCTTACCAAAATTATTCTCAGCCTGGTAGCAGTCTTTATGTTAATTGTTTGGCTTCAAAATTCTCTTTCATATAGATAAGAGTATTTCAGACTCCAAAATTTATATAAAAAACAACTATTTTTTCCTCATGATTGTCTTTTTCCTTGCTAGAACATAAACAGAGAATAGCATTTTACATAAACAGATGAGATATATGGATTTATGAGGGATGACTTCCTAACAAATGGGAGAGAAGCTATATAATATTTTGAGATGTAAGATAGAGATAAGATATTCTACTAGAAAAGGTAACTCATAAATCTTACTTAGAGCCCTTATATCTATGATAATGAGAAAATAGCACTTTCCTATTACATAAGGTAGAATCTGCTGAATAAGAAAGGATATCCTAGATCCCTTCCTTTTCTCTTGTACTTGACCATTATCTCTGAAATTATTAGTAAACCTTGATATTAGGCAACATTTCTGATTTGCCAGTGTCTGTGTAATTTCACTCCCCAGAAAGGGAAGATACATAAAGAAATTGATCTATAGTTGGATGCATGAAAATATTTAAAGATGCCTGATATAATTGAAGTATATGATAGAATGCTGTATGTATACCACAGTCAGCAATGTTTTTTCTCTTAAGGGTCAAGTAGCAAAAATTTTGTATGTGGAGGTCATACAGAGACTTTTGCTGCTATTCAACTCTGTTGCAGCATGAAAACAGCTTTAGGAAAAATATAAATGATTAAGCATTATGTAAGAATAGGAAACAGATGGAACTGGTCTCAGAAGAGTAGTTTGTTGACTTCTGACTTGTAGGACTGAGGATGAATAATTTATACGTATACCAAGAATATAGATGAATCTCCTATTTATAAAGTTGAGCAAGTGTAAGAATAGGTAATCATGTATACAGTGCAATTCTATTCTATATAGTTCAAAATCAATTGAAATTAATGCATTCTGTTGCAATTAGTGACTAGGAAAGTATTCCTGTAATATTTTCTTCTAATTTTAGTAGTCTTCTTTCTACTCAATTTTAATGGATCTAGTTCTTCCTATTTCTTCTTGTTTGAACTATGTTATCAATATAATTTTAATTATATTTTTTAAATTTAAAATTTTTATTTTTAAATTATTTAAATTTAAATAAAATTAGATTTTATTTTTAATATTTTAAAAATCAAGTTTTAAGATTTTCTAATTTTATTTTAAAGCATTTATTATGTGCACCATGACATTTAAAAGTAGATGTAAAATACCTAAATCTTACCAATTAATTTATGTGCTACCTCACGGTTATCACTGTTGTGTTGAGAATGCATTTACACGCTTAGCACTTTTTAATAATATACCATATTATTTTTCACTGTAGTTACCATAAAATATCAGCACGCTATTAAAGTGGCTGTCATGAAAAAGATGAAATAACGAGTGTTGATGAGGATGTAGAGAAAACAAAACTTTTGTACACAGCGAGCATGTAAATTAGTAGTCATTACGGAAAACAATTTGAAAGTTCCTAAAAAATGAAAATAGAACTAACTTATGATCCAGCAATCCCCCTACTGAGTTTTTCCATACATCTCCCTGGGATTACTGGATTTCTCTTTTACTGAAACCTGAGATGAGTTCTGAAGAGATCACCTTGAGCACTCTTCAAATATTCTAGAACCAGATAAGAGAAGGAAGGAAAACTGTATAATTTCTTAAGTTTAAATTGGGTAGGTCAGAGCCCTTTTATCAGTTACAGACTGCAACCTAAAGATGCTGACTCTGAAGAATGAAGAGTAAGAACAAAAACTAAGCACTCTGGCTTGCCCTGGAGGAAGTTCAGACATTGGGCGGCTCTTAGAAAAACATCACAACAGTCCCAGTAAGAAAAGGAAGACTTGGTCTAGAGCACTGAAAGCTGCATTGGAAAAGAGAAAAGATATTAGAAGGAAACTTAAGATATGGAATCACAAGCTATTTGTGGTTATGCGACCTGTGAATCACAGATTACTTGTGGCTGTTATCACTTAAATTAATTGACTAACGGGTGAATCAAAACCATCAGTTTAATTGAAGTCTGTCATTTGAAAAGTCGCACAAAGTTATTTTGTGATTACTCAAAACCAATGATCCCAAACTTACTGACAAACTAGATGTGATCAAAAGAAAGTGAATATGTGAATTTTTAAAAATAATTGCTACAGTAAAGACACACTGCCATTAGTCCCCCTCCATACGGTCCCTCGTACTTCAAATACACTCACCCCATCACTCCTGACACTTTTTGAAGTCTTCTTTCATGAGTGTCTTCAGTGGTGATATCACTGCTGCCTCAGTGTCCTAAATTGATTCTAAACATTTAGTTTTCATGATGATCTTGCCTCGGGGATGAACCAGGATTATACCATGCCAGATCTGGTGAATAAGGTGAATGAAGACACACTAGTATTTTTTACAGGACTGCCTTTCTAATCCAAGTCACTTGGTAGCAACATTCACTGGATTTCTTGTAACGCCATGTAAAGACACTCACAAAAGGGAGCCTCCAAAACTGTTTCAAAAAGTGTTAAGAATGATGGGACAAACGTGATCAAAGTGAATGCAGATATTTTAGGGAAAATTACAGTGTGTGATTTACAGCAAGAATTTTTAAAATTTAAAAAAAAATATTCACCGTGTATTCTGACTACCCTTTGTAAAACAAAAAACAAAACAAAAAATCACATTGTTTTTCATGTATTGCAGAACTTGAAGAGAGAGTAATGTGGATGATTTTCCCTGTTTTATAAAGTTTGGACCCTTAGGTGGAAGAACGGAAAGACCTAGAATGATGGAAATGCCTGGGAACAAAGTCTACTTGGAGCTTTTCTCGTAACTATGTTTGGTGTCTGGCTGGTAAATTTTGAAGCAGGGGCCTTGCTGAGAGTTTCAACCATGGGACTTACCTGGGGTCTTTCCATGTGGTTTGGATTTCTCACAAAATGGCATATGTGTTTCAAAAGAAAGCGTGGAGTATTAAGAAGACAAACAAGCAAAGATATATGGTAGAAGCAACAATGATTTTTAAAAATTCAGCCTAAAAATTTACACAGCATCACTTTCACTGCATTCTATTAGGAATGGGTTTGCCCACTGAATCTAGCTCAATCTCAAGCACAACTTCCTGAGTATGGTTGTCTTAGTTACTTCTCTTGTTGCTGAGACAAAATACCTGGCATTGACAAGTTAAAGGAAGGAGAGATTTATCACAGCTCACAGTTTTAGAGGTGTCAGTCCACGATTGGCTGGCTCCAAGGCATAGTAGCATAGCAGGGGGCGGAAATCACAGAGGAGGAACAGTGCATGGCAGGGCAGGCAAGAGACAGTAGGAATAGCAGCAGGCCTCTGTTTCTCTTTTATCCCATTCAGCCACAAGCCTTTTGAAGAGTGCCACCCATACCCAGAATGGGCCTTCGCTTTATCCACACCCAGAACTATGCTAAACCAACTAGTGGACTAATTTACTTATTGCACACCCTTAATGCATATTCACACACCCCTTATCGATCCACTACAAAAGCCCCACCTATGCGTCCATGACACTTCGCGGGACGTCTAGATACAAGTCATAACAATGGTCATGGATGTTGGGTGCTGAAGAATCCGTATGATTTATCTGGATGATTCCAGTGGCATTGGACTCTAGACTGTGCAGTGTCTTCCTATTGAAACTAAAGGTAGAATTTAGTGCAGGCATTGGGTCTTACTTATTTTAAGCATCGAGTGCCCACAAAACTGATTTTTTCTGCTTAACATAATACATGATGTTTAATTATTTTGGCTCACTGGATTGAACAAAAAATGTAATGGAAAGTATTTTATGACTTTCATTGTAATGAATTCAAACTACTTTTTCATATACAGTATGAAAAAGTTCTTCAAGATTTTTTAAAACCAAACTGACTAGATGTATCATAGTTATAATAGTAAGAATAGGAAAAAGGAATTTGTGCAGCAACAGAAGTCTTGATATGGGTGTATGGTGTTTTTTCTTTAAGAAGAAAAATTTTTTCCCAAGTACAGTTAGTTGACTCAAAACAATTTCATTAGCTCTGGGGGGAAAAAAAACCCTCTAATCTCTCAGGCAGTTGAACACAGTCCAAACCATACATCTGTTAGAGTAAAATGCCAGTTAAAATACAATGTGTTCACATGAGAGAAAGATTCAGACATTGCCAGTAACCCTTAGAAACTCTTCTGCTGTTATAAGTAGTGCATTAACCTGTTCATTTAGGAGAGAACACAATTTGCTTTCCAAAAAGATCAATGTTTTGAGCATTATAATAGTAATAAAGTCCCACCTGCTATGCACAATGTTTAGATACTACTGAACTGTGCAGTTGAAAGATTAGAAGAATGATGAAGACCTGGTAGGACTCTGCTACACCAGTGCTATTTATTGTACTCAATACAGTTAGCAATATATTTTATCTCCTTGGTCAAAGAATCCTTCCCATTACACTCTGCTCCTTTTAATGAAATAACTGTGACATATTTCCAATGTTGTTTGACGCTCACCAGCTGCGGGATTTTCAGGAAGAGAGATGGGACACCTAGACCTTTTTCCCAGGAAGCAGCTTTATTCACGCCAGCACTGACACCATGGATTCCTATTCAAAGACTAAGTGCTGAATGTAATGTCATTGCACACTTCCACACAGTTTTTGTCTCCTTGATGTGAGCGTATACGAACAATTTACAGTCTGGTTGGTTATACAGTAACGTTCTACAGTCTGCTCAGGTATGATTTATATTCCAGAGTCACATCAGGTCTACACTGCAAACACAGTCTGGCATCGCTACACTGTAAGAAGTTTCCACCTTGACACACCTAAAGAGACCCTGCCACATTCCCTCTTTGATGCTCCAACCCCATCTTATTTTGAGTCAAAGAGCATCATTCTGGTTTAGAGGTTTATATTTCCGTAACATCATCACATATGTGGCCATCTTTCTTTTGAAGACAGAATATAAAACCAAGGGAGCCAGGCAAGGCAGGATCAAACAGGTTCCCAAGTCAGGAGTATGATACTTATGAAGGCTTTGAATCCCCTGAAAGTTGAAAATCATCTCCAAACAGTTCCTTGGGGATCCTAACTTTTCCGGGCCTGGGTTGGAGCATGAGAGATGTTTCTCATTTGATCTGTAACCTCCTCTGTGATCTTTCCCTCATCATCTATTTGTAGGCAGCAGTTTCTTAGGTTAAATTTTACACAAACACCTCCTTCAGAAGCAAGCAGATAATCTAAGACCAAGCAATTTTGATAAATAGCAGTGTGCATTTCAGTCTGTTGTTTGGCTAACAAGTTAAGAGCTTTGGCAGTTTCATTAGTTATTGTCATGCCAGAGAACAGGGCATAGCCTGGCCACCCCTACTCCCCACATACTCAGGCCTGAAACTTTGCCACCTATGTGGGAAGAGGCCTTACAGACAAACCTGGTGCTGGTGGGAGAAGATCATCACGTCCCAGCCCTGGGTTCAGAGAAAAACATTCACACTGCCCTGGTCCAAGGAGCACAGACCACCCAATCTTTGCCCCCAGACTCCTCAAGACAATGAACCCTCTGACCAGTGCCTGGAAACCACCTACAGCCATTTTTCTAATTAAATCTATACTCTCCCCCCATTCTGAGCTGGTTCTTCTTAAAGCCGGTCTTCCTGTTTGTACTGAATCAAACAGCTTTCTTTGTTCAGGCAGGCCCAGGTGGTTTCTCTGCTCTCTGTCTCTCCATTACAGTTATAATTTCCACAACTGTGTGCAGTTTAGCATATAAATAGGCACACAATAGCCAGGACCCATCTTCTGCCCAGGTAGCAGGACCATAATACTGAACTCAGGGGGGTGTTCATCATCTTTCCAATTGCCAATTTGCAGGGTACGTTGTTTTCTATGGGTCCCCCTGTCCCCATATGCTTAGATTCTTAGAGGTTCTCCTTTGGCCAATGTGAGTAAAAAGAAAGGTGGGCAGAGAGGCCCTAAAACACAAGACCTGACTAGTTTAGGGGAAGTGCAGCACATGTGGTTCTTCTGTTTACCCAATACAGTCCACCTGGGGTCCCCCATTTGATGTCTGTGTCGACGTCATCCCAGACACCTCTTAGATGAGAAAAGTTGGGCCAGGGGGGAGGTAGTCAGAGGATTCTCAGCATTGGGTCTTCTGGGCAGTTGAGCTGTGGGACCTTTAACACAGGCATGTCAGGCTCCCTGCAGAAACGTTGAGCCATCCTCCCCACCAAGCAAGACAGTTTCCTCTAATTATTAAGGTCTTGAGAAGCCAAGTCAATGAGGTGGAACTAGTGTACTCTGTGCCAATATAAGGTTCAAAGGGATCTAATTCTCTAGCTCCTCAGGGCCACTGGCCCCATGTTGGTCCCCCATATACAAAACAAGAAGATACCTTCAGAGTCTGGCTACAGTTTCTGCTAGAGCTAAAAACAAGTTTTTGGTTGTGGCCAGAATTGGAACGGGGCCACTTTCTGTTTCCTCATAAAGTGAGGGGAAAAAACCTGACAAAATGAGGCCACTTAGACAGTAGTGACTCTCCTGAAGGGTAATACAGTCCTTGGGTCAATGCCTTAGATAGATAGATAGATAGATCGATCTCCAGAAACCATTTTCCACTTTGATTCTCCTGTATTACACATAGTGAAATTAATAAGGTTACAGGTTCCCAATTCACAGCTAAGAGTGGCAGCCCCCGTGTGGAGGTGTACTGCCTTCCAAGAGGCCCAGGAGATACAACTCCAATAGGGGAAATAAGCCCAGCAGTCACCACAATAGACAGATTTAGGGAAGGCCTGATCAAAAATATACTTATTATTGAGCTTGTATTTTCATTTCCATGGTAATCCCCTACATTTTGGGTCTACACAGGAAATTTTACTAATGGCAACACAACATCAAAAAATACCAATACTGGTAGGCGGGGCTTTGTAACCTGGGTTTTGTAAATTAATGGCCCTTCACCTTGGGAGTGTTGGACCTCAAACCATTCCTCAGAGGGGGAGCAGTTGGGATTGAAATAGTGCACTGATTTTCATGTTGGCAGACAGAATAGGTTGTCTTATTATGCGTGCAGGTCCTTCGGATCCTCCCTGAGTGTGAGAAGTGGGTGAGGTAAAGTTCAAATAATTCCCTGGCTTGAACCGGTTAGGTGAATACACTGGTCACATGATGGGGAACTCAGGTTCACCAATGGGGCCCCAGTTACAGCAGCCAATACCAGCAAAACATCCCACGCACAAGAGGAAAGTGAGGGCCAGCAGGCACCTCTCGCCACATTTCCAGTCCCCTGGAGTGGTCTCAACAAGGGCGATAGCAAAAAGCAGGGCCAGAGACCCAAGTACAGTTAAGAGTAAGAGGTGGCAGTACATTACAGATAGGCACAAAAAGTATGCGGTCCACCTGTACTGCCAGTTGGCAGTGCCTTCAGGCTTCCGCTGTGCCTAGACTAGTCAGCCGCTGGAGTGGCTGTTGTCTTTCAGTGGTATTCCTGAGGTCACGGTCCACTTCTTCTGGATCGTCAGCTTACACAGCACAATGAGTCAGGGGTGCACTGTCAGTCAGAGACGCTGACTTCACTCGGCTGTGGTAAATCTAGGGGACTATCTCAGCTACTTTTACTGCAGTGGGAGTAGATAGGATACCAGTGAATGAGCCACTCCAGAAGGGTTGGACGTTCCATTCCTTTATCCACACAGCATCCCTTGGCTTGAAAGAGTGACCTGTGGTTAGACTCGTGGGTAATCATTTCTTAAACCATCGGTGTAGAATGGTTAAGGCTGAGTCTAACTCTTGCATCTGTCTCAGAATGAGGTTTCCAACCTCCTTTAAATCCCCCTTTCAAAAGGGGGAAAGCCCTTTGAAGGGCTGCCCGACAGGGTTGCTAAAGGGGGTTTGGAGCATGGGGAAATGAATGTCCTTGCAATTAGGTGTTCCAGGAGTCCAAGCCACAGATGTTACTTGTAACTATCACAGCTGCAATGCTGGTGCATGGGGTGGAGGAAGGCAGCCTAGAGGGAAATAAAGTTTAAAATGGAGGTGCTATTGTTTGTGTGCTTCAATACAAAAGCAGGGCCACGGTTTCTCACAATTCCACCCTCTCATATCTTTGTACTCTTTTTTTCTTCAAACTCTGAGCAGAAGTTCATTCTCTGTAGTGTTCCTGCACCTGGATCACGTTAGCCAGATAAGGTGGAGAAGCTGGTTGGGTAAGGGCAGTCTCTAAGCAAGAATAAATAAAGAACTGAGATCAAAGCACGAGCATTAGGGCGGAAAGGACAATTTTGTAACTGGCTGGCTCTTAGACTTTACTTTAAAGCACTGAGATCAAAGCACGAGCATTAGGGCGGAAAGGACAATTTTGTAACTGGCTGGCTCTTAGACTTTTCTCCTGATGTAGATGGAAGCTGCCAGCAGGAGTTAGAGATGGGACCACCTGTTTATGTCAGTCTACAGTACTATAACTTTTATGTGTTTGGTTATATATTTCTGCTGGGTTTTTAAGACCGAGTTTAAAGTGAGATTAGTATTAACCCAAAATTAATCTTTTTTTTTCTTACCAAATATCAAGGTCGGTTAAGACTTCCCAGGGGTTATTTGTGGTATCGTGCGTAGGGCTCCTCAGCTCTTCTGTCGGTGTTCACAGCCAGAATGGGTCACAGTCTTGCTTGACCATGTAGTTTCCTGGGGAGGCACAGAAGACATTTCTCTCTCTAGTGACCTTCCTTGGTATCACACGGTGCCTCGCTTGATTCCTGTTCTTTGGTGTCTAACAGTCTCCTTGCTCAGGGTGTTGGTTGACCTACCAAAGTTGTAGGATCTGTAGGATAAGTCTCCTCCTATCCTGGGTCCTTGTGGACCTTGGAGGGCCAGGACCAAAATATTGGCTGCCCTCTTAGACCAGTTACCTTTTGAGCTTTGGTGCCTAAACTTCAGTTATTGAGCACCCAGGATATCAGTTAAACCAGTATTTCAGGAACAATAGTAGGTTTAATCTTATCTAGATATCAAATGCCTGGATATACGTAATGTGACCAAGGAACTGTTAGTCCTTACCAATTGTGGTTGTATTAGAAATTGAATCCCTACCATATATTAACAGATAATAATTATAAAGTTTTATAGAAACAACTTGAGGTTGAGGACAGCATAACACATTAGCATGACAATCATGATGTCCTTATAATTATTAATTTTGTTGTTTCTGAAACACATTTAAATTTTTATCAGTATATAATGACTTTTTAGTCAGTTATCTTTATATAAGTACAAGATATCAAATGACATACAAAACTTTTACCTAATTTTTTATCTTTTAACCACTTTTTGTTACCAGCCTGACAGTTAAGTAAAACATGGTTGATTACTTTATGGATATACTTTACAGATTATTAAAGTTATTAATGTCTAATCTCTAATGCTTATAATGAGATCATCACAACTGTATGAGGTATAGGCACACTAAACTACCATCACAGATTATATAACAATCACATAAACATAAAACTGAAAAAATGTCTCATCTTGAACAACTGTAGTTTGAGGGTTACCAGTATGATAAGATATCTTTCTAAAGTCCTACATCTTAAAAAGATCTATACACTTGGGGAAAGCATAAAGTTATTTAATATACCACAAGGTTATCAATAGTTAGTATCACAACCATATAGAGATCTTTACAAATATTTAGTTAGTTTTGACTAAGGGTGTTTTGACAGATTTATACAGAATTATACATAGTTTTAGGGTGTTTTGACAGATTTATATAGAATTCTTGTCAATTCTTTATTGACAAGGATTAAAGAACATCTTTAGAGCTCTTACAAATTTTGAAAACAGTGCTAATGACTGCATACAGATTTCTTACCCAACACAAATGTGTCTCATTTATACAATAACAAAATGTATATTTAATCAAAGCCAATTGATATAAATTTAACTAAGAGCATCTGAATCAGAAAATATTTTGTCTTAGGCACAGAAAACTTAGCCTTTTACTTGTAACCAGCTTAAGTATATCATAATAATTTATTTAATAACTGCTGGGGTGTGGCACCATAAGACCCTGAAAAAAAAAGGCACCCTCAGTGGAGAAACTGGACAGATTTTGGTCTAGACAGCTGCTCTTTCAACCTCAGAGAGGAGTTTAGTCTAATTGTTCCCCAAGTTCAAGGGTTTCAAACTTGGTTAAGAATTGCTTTATATGACATATCATAACAGTTAACATTTTAAACTATTTTATATATTATCTTTGACCAAAGAAAAACTCTTATTATTGCACACAAACAACAATAGGCATTATATTTATGAAATTAATTTTGGATATTATCTTGATTAACTGGGTTATCTAACAATCTGAATGGAAACATGTCACCAATCTTTGAAATATTCTTATTCTTATCAACTGATTTAAATTAGTCTACTGCTAAGCTATGTGACCCAAAAGCATTTGAGCTACTATCATGAGTGACTACTTATTTGTAAGGGAACCTAAGCAGACTATATCATTTAAGACTCATATATAGAAACATACACAGTTTAAATCATATGTAACCTTTACGTTCTAGATTCTAAGGTTTCTATTAGTAACTCCTATGTGACTCTGAAGTTCCTTAATGCTCGTCCTGTACCTTTTAAGTGGACTCCACTGTTTCTAAAACCCTAGGTAACCAGTTTTTATGTGAGAGGACAAAAGAGTCGGTGAAAAATAAAAGGAACAATAAAGTTGCTTTAGGTACCTTAAATCGATGAGCCAAAAAAGAAAAAAGACACACAAATAATTACTTTTAGATCAGAGTGCACTTTGAGAGATATTGGCTAAGTTGAGCTGTAGCTATAATAATCTGCTGTGGATTCATTATAAATTAACTAGTAAGAACTTTTTAGGGTAACCAAATAGAGCAGACATTTCTTACAATAAATCAACACCAGTAAGGAGATGGAAGAGAAAAATCTCTTACTATATAGAGTTATACCCAGAAAGAGTGGAGGGTAGCTTTGAGGTTTTGTCTTTTTATTTTCTAATTTACCTATGGAGAAAAAAGTCCACTTTTAATTTAACTATAGATCACAGATCAAGGAAAGCAGAGGCCATGAGCTGCCCCTTTCCTCTCCCATGTGATGAGAGTCACTAGGCTCTCCTACTCTCCAACTCACTATGTTTTGAGCAACCAACAAAAAAAAGTTAAAAGGGTCTGTGTAGCTTTTATAACTAGCCCAAATTATTATTATTTTTTTTTTTTGTACTAGGGATCGAACTTGGGAGGCAGGCAGTGGAACCACTGAGCTAAATACCTGGCCCAACTTCTGATTTAAAAAACATTTTTCCAAATTGTGGTTATACTTTCCTTCTTTCTCCTTTGGTCCCAGATTGTTACATTTTTAAATTTGACTGGAGGTCAACAAATTTTCAAGTAACCTTGAATTGGTACTCTTATTTTAACATCTGCAGAAAGTAGAGAAAACAGCAATTGTAATTGTAGTTGTAGTTTAAGAATTTACAATCCATAAGAAATGTTGTAAGCATGTTAGTTAAATAAAAGGATACCAGCTTAAATTGAGAGCCAAACATAAATGTGTCAATTAGCTAAGATTTGAAATAATTGGCTCCTACCGTTACACTGGGTTCACTTTAAGCCACAGCATGAACATTTTATGATTACCTCTCTGTTTTACTGAGACGCAGGGAGTTGTGCCTTTCTAATTTTCTCCTGAGCCAAGGAAAAGGGCTGGCTTTCTCCCTTTGTTCAGCTGCTGCCATAGCGCCAGGAGTTGGGCCCACCTCGGCCGGCACTAGCTCCAGTCTTGGGTATGATAGGCTGAGGACAGGGATTCCAAAAGACCTTGTGTGGAGGAGGGGATTGGAGGTGAACCATCTCTTTTTTGGATTAAGTCCCTGAGTTTTTAGGGGAAACAGGACAACCAGGCCCTGTCACCAACACGAAGTGTAATTTATCTCCTGAGAGCCCAGCCTTTTATCATAAACAAATTCAATGAACAGTTGACACACCCAGTTCTCATTATGATCCACACTTTGGCCAGAAGATGGATGGGGTGAGGTTGAGGGCTTGTGGCAAAATGAAACAAAAAGACTTTTTCATGTTAGCTTTCTTTTTGTGTTTTGTCCATAGGTTGTCACTCCAAGTCCGTAATATCAGTCTGAGGGAAGCATCTGTGGGTATTTTGTTCCCTGGTCCGCTTGACTCTCTAATCTGACCTAACTAGGAAGCACATTTATGTCCCAGTTGGTCCCAAAAGCCTTAGGTTCAATCTCCAGTGCATGCTGAGATATCTTACCAATGTCAATGTAAAGAAATTAGCCAGGATGGCCAGGGCTCTTGCAATAACCCTGAACGCTTGGCTAATTATCTCCTACCAAGTGAGCCCTCCGTAGAACAACCCACCCCGGAGGGTGGTCAAATAATTTCACAGTAGGTCTGGAGCTTTCAATGTGTCAACCTAAGACTGTAGTCACTTAAATATCTCTTTTTTAAATTCTTGAATATACATTCTAAGAAAATTGGTTTACTCTGGTTTCCACCTATTTCCTCCCCCTAACAGACAACTTTCATGCACAAGGCAGGGAGGAAGGAAGGAAAAGAGAAAGGGTTTCACTTGGAAGAGTGGTACACTGCCCATTTCCAGCCACTTCCTGGAGGAGATATTTCAGGCACCTCTTAGCATTGGTGGAACTCCCAGGGGGTCTGGCATCGCCCTTAGCCATATGAGGAGCACTACAGAACCAGGTTGGGACTCAGCACTCACTTTGGCCCCTGTGATCGGGTCAGAAACTTCCCACTGTTTGTCTCATTCAAGCATAAACACACAAGAACTACAACCCACTGCCCAGTGCCCAGCACCTTGGGGCTGCAATTCTGGTCACTGGGGAACTACTTAGGCGACTTGTACTCTAGTCGGTTGCCAGTTTCCTGAGAATTTCAGTTTCAGTGTCAGGGAACCTGCACCAAAGCCAGGCATAGTGTTTTGCACATAATAATGATCCAATATGCATATTCGTTGAATCAATGCATTAATAAATAAAGTAAGAAAAAGAATCCATGACTATCCTTTGCATCCTGGATAAGCAGCTCTACTCATCTCTGAAAGTGTAGAGAGCAAACTTCTCCTCCCGTCCTACTGACTAGAAATCATTTTAGCCTTGAAAAGAACTGAGATTGACCTGACCATCGTATTAGAATTTCATTTTAACTGTCTGCCTCATCTTTTGTGTAAATGATCTACCCAGAACAACTTTGTCTCAGAAAACAAGTAATGAAACATGAAGAAAATAATGGCACGTTGTTCTGTGGGTGATGCGTTTACCCAAAGTAAATTGTTGTGAGTTGACGTAAGAAGGAATCTGGCAGCAGTTCACATGGAGGACGTCTATTGTTTACATCCCACATGGTTTGAAAAGTCAAAAAACTGAACAGTGAGGCAGTGCAGGAGAGCTTGTCATTCATTCGACAGAGAGATGCCAGGTGAAAGTCTGAACCACTTTGGAAAATCAGCTCCAACTCCACTGATATTTTCCTCTGCAGATTTAAGAAGACTCTAGCAGTGCCCAAGGAAATGGGCAAGGAACCCAAGGTATTCCACACAGTCTGCAGGCTGGCAAACCCTTGGGATAGAGCACCCACCCTTGGAGAATGTAAAGAAAAACATCAAAATTGTGCCTTTTTGAA